CAAAGCAGTCAGAGGCAGCTGAGAAGAGAGCCAACCAGCACGTCGGCTTGCTGCGGACAGCCTTCGGAAGATTCGACCCATCCATCTTCCTCATGATGCACAATTGTTACGTGCGCCCTCACGTTGAATACGCCATCCAAACTTTACAACCTTGGTTGAAGCGCGACTTAGAAGTACTAGAGAAACCACAACGCAGGGCCACAAAGGACGTCAAGAGCCTACGAAATCTGTGCTGCCATCAAAGGCTAAAGTCACGGGAATTTTCAGTGTCCGCTACCGAAGGTTGCGTGGCGATCTCATTTTTGTCTACCAAATATTGTGTGACCCTACTCACGTATGCCGTCACTTGCTGAAACCCAGCCATTACTCCAATCTTAGAGGTAACTGAAATTGTGTGCACATTATAGCCGCCTGGAATACCGGCGGAATAATTTTTCTCTTCGGGTTTATAAACCCTGGAACTCTCTCCCAACTTCGTTGTTCCCCTCCTTACTTTGTTTATTTTCAAAAAGCGACTGCATCTTGCCTTTGGCTCCCATCACTTAGTTGCCTAAACTGTGCAACTTCGGAATGTATTAATTATCCTTCCAAACCGGATTAGCATGTTACGTAGACCTGCGGATGCGGGGCAGAAGTGAGTGTTCTTGTTTTACTTCTCGCATTTAATACATATACTATAACTCTCCCCATGTTGCCACGTCGTTCACATTCGATTCCCACTTACACCACTATTATTCGGCAGCGTATCTGCTGACTAAACGCTCAAACAGACAACTCACCTATCGTTTGATAATTGTAGGTTTACCTCCACCATCCTGCGGGACTTGTCAAGCAACGGCATTTTCCCCGACATAAATTATTGTTTATTCTACTCCATCTGCTCTCAAAGGTAATTGAGGGAATCGTCGCTGAGGCTTTAGTAGACCATCTAGAACGCCACAACGTCATAGCACCCGAGCAATATGGTTTCCGCCAGCACCGCTCATGCACTACCAATCTACTGATTGCACGCAGTAGTTGGACGGAAACGGCCGATTAAGGTAGAGGGACTGACGACATTTACTTCGAATTCTACAAAGCCTTCGACCGACTGAACCACTGCATTCTGCTTCACAGGCTCGAAAGCCATGGAGTTGGTGATCCTGTCCTAGAGCGAATCAGAAATTCCCTGCAGGATCGGCAACTGCAGGTCGGAGTTCGAAGTGCGCTGTCCGATCCGATTTATGTCGAATTTGGACTTTTACGAGGATCACTTCTGGGGCCGCATCTGTTTCTCATGTTCATTAACGGGCTTACGCCTTTGATTACCTCAGATTTCTTGCTGTTCGCTGATGGTGATAAGTTGTGGTGGACGATCGCCGACCCAGCAGATTACTATGCACTTCAGCGAGACCTGGACAGAGGGTATGGATGGTCGCTCCACAATCTGCTCTAGTTCAATTCGTTGAAGTGTAACGTGGTTCACATTCGCCATCAGCCGAACATCAAATTCAAGCTTGGAGACCATGTCCTACAAGCAGTCACCTAGGATCGCGAACTTAGGGTACTAATCTAGGCTGATCTGGGCTGTTCAGAACAATCTGAGGAGGCGTCAAAAACTGCGAACCAACACGTTGGCATGTTGCGGAGGGAATTCGGGTGGTTTGATCGCTCTGTCTGTTCACATTTGCTTAACGCCTACGTGTGGCCTCATGTGTAATACACAATCTAGGCCTGGCAGCCCTGGCACAAACAAGATCTTGCAGAGCTTGAGACTCCACAGCGATGAGCCACGAAACACCTCAAAGGTTTGTTCAATCTTCCTAATCAACTTAGACTGAGGACCCTAAAATTGTACAGTGGCCGGCAGCGGCGCCTACTTGGCGACCGTATTATGGCCTGCTTGATTCTAAGGAACCCCAAGCACGTCTGCCATCATCTGAGCCACAACACGATTTTGAGGAGCCACCAGTTCAAGTTAACCACGCAATGCAGTTGGCTAGAATGTCGACGGAACTTTTAGTCTCTTTGTGTGTGACAGCCATGGAACGCCCTCCCAAATTGCGTTGTTTCCACCCCTAATTTATCTGTGTTTAAAACCCCTTGACGTTTCCCTAACCCACCTACACTACAAGATATAGCCTGTGTGTCTCGACAGGCGATATAATGCGAAGCTTGCCCAACCAGAATTAACCTACACAACTATGGTTGGCTCTTTCTGCGTGCCTGTGTGTTAACACTGTGGTGAGTCCACCAAAATCATTTTCATTTTCTCCCTTCGTTTTCTCTTCACCATGTTGTGGTTTCCTTTTTGATCATCATACGGAACTTGCTAAGCATCCGCGTCTCTTGGCCGGTACTATACCATTGTCCCATTGCGATCCAATAGCCATTTGTTTTGGTTTCGACAATCGGTCGCAATTTTGCTGCTTTCATCTATCTATCTATCTATTTACATTTAATCTCTTACGAGGACAGGTAAAATTGCACATCTCCAAAAGAGCCTTGGTGACTGAATTGACCGATGTAGGCCTAAATCTACACCGTTGTGCAAATCGTGATTACGCATTATCAACTGGAGCATACATCACTGGTGTAGAATAATACAATGTTCGCGGTTGATTTGGACGTCGTTCCTAAAACTATATGTGACGCACTGCGCTCTCACAGTACTGTTTGTCGAACAGCCCCACCTACTCAAAGTGAGTCTTCTTGAGACAGGATGCGCTACTTGACTCGTCTGTCCAAGCAGAAAGCTTTTTACTGGATTAGTTACCTCTGTTGGATGTGCTGTTTTTTGACTAAAACAGAAATCACAGAAAGCTGTTGCTATATCTACTTCTCCGTTTGCCACCTTTACGCAACACCGACTGCGCAAACTCATTCGGTTTGCTCACAGTGGTCTTTATTGCTTGTGGCGCTTCTTTCTTTTTCAAATCTATGGGCAGTGTGGTTACACGTTATTATCAACCGACTACCTCTCCTTCCTTAAAGGTTTCATCAATTGATTGAATGGGCTGGTGCGGTGGGATGCAAATCTCGACATTTGCTCCGTGCATTCATATTACCTTACGGTTGCGTTTTATTGCAACCGGTTCGCACGATTTAAAGATAAATCAACACATCCACTGCTCTAAATTAGGTATACAAGCCGTTTCATTGACTGTATTTAAGTTCCCGATACTGCTGGAAACATCGTAGAGACGATTGAAACCTTCCAGTGTGTGAGATCTCCTCTTGGAATGGTCCCCTGAAACGTAGGGTGCTAGCGCCAAAGTGTTACTCGTGTTGTTTCACCCACCAGGTGCGTATTAACACTGAGCGCTAAAGACATTGTACTACTGAGTATCTCTGATCACAGATAACAGCGAATATTGCTCCCGTTAATTTATTGGCAGTTTTCGAGCTTTTCCGATCCATTGAGTTATTCTGAGTGATTCTTTTTGATCTTTTGAAAGGTATTCGTTTCAGTATGTTTCACAGTTGGAGGCACACTCAGTCTACCGGTTCTTTAGTTCGAAACTTGAAGTTAGGACAGTAGTTGTATCGGCGAAAGCACCTTATCTTGCTGACTTCTGCTTACATTTTACCTTTTTGCGGCCTGGTATTAAAATCAGAGCTTTTGTGGAACTTACCAATGCTTTTTCTCCCTGAATTTAGCTTCCCTAACGGTATTCCAGCCGGTACACGACCGTGGCTATTACCTCGAGGCCGAACGTCATCCCGTATTTACCGTCGTGCAGTTTCACCAGAACGATTTTATCCCTTGCACACATACAAACACACACACACACACACTTGAATGGACTGCTGCTGTCGTCTCTCTTCTCTGTTCGACTTGCTCTTCCGCAACGTCATTACTAATCTTTTTCCAAAGTCCCACAGCTTTACGATCTATGCAGTATAACTTGTTATACACCCTACCTCCCTATCACCACAACACTCAATAGTCTTCTGACATCGAAAATCTACCACAGGTCCTGCCCGATTTTATTAACTCTATTTAACATAGTACCATTTGGTGGCATCGGTGTACTATTTGTCTATCACTGTGACTGCACCTAAGGGGTGATGCTTGCAGCTCATGCTGCACCACCCACATGCCCAATACCCAGCGTAAACAAGGAATGAGATCAGGTTTATGAACAGGAAGCGCGATTGCTTGCGAATCAAATCACGCTCCATCATTGATATATCAGTCATGTGTTCGCAATACCGCAGAATTGCACCCGGAGTTGAGACAGTGCTCCAAGACTGTAGGTGCAGCGTATACCGCAAACAAATACGCACATTCTACGTCACACTGGACAGACATCCGCTGGCCACTCATTGGTGCTGAGTTTGAGGAAGCCCAACTCCTGGATTTACGCAAGATTGCATCTGGACCGTTACTCCTTTCTGTGTAGAACACCCTGTTTGAACCTGCGCCCTTGGTTCATCATTGCTGTTTGGTGTTGCTAGACGAGTTGATGTACCTATTGTCTCTATATTACTGCCTATGTTCCAGCTTTGTCTGAATGTAACTAAAGTTGTCATTTATCAACATTGTAGTACATTGTTGCGTAATGCACTAAGTTCTAATATAGTTCTATTTACCGGGTTTGTGCTTGCACAGTCCGGAGCTCAAGCCTTTCACTTGGCCAACCCTGCAGTGTGCTGGAATTTATCTCTTGATTCACGGGCACTGACGATCATTTACTGATATTGTGCAGTGAACCTTGGCTTTTTCTGGACAGCAGCGGCTTCGGGCAAACTGGATCGCGCTTTTATTTTGACTACCTCTCCTGGTTCCCTCACGTTGTTCCAACGACTTTCCACTTTCATTTACTTTCTGATTTATTCTCGTGCTTTCACTCAATCCCTTGTTCCAGGTTGCCCAAGGAGTGACGCAATGAGTATGACGTAACAACTGATCGATCAATCGACTGCAGTAGAAATACCTTTTTGTTGGTAGTGTTCCCGTAATTATCGACCTATGTGCTTACACGTGTATTTTCCGCTTATTTTTTTCCCTTTTATAGATCTACATCTGTGGATCTTGAGCCAGGGGAGCAACACCTATTGCCATATTCCGCTGTGCGGTCGTTTGTTGAGGATGGTCGCATATTATTGCTTTAATTGCTATTATTCTCCACTTTCACCGCTGGTCTTTTTGTACAATCTCCTCTGCACCACCGATACCGGTCCGTTTGTTTATGACAAATCATTCCGTTTCCTCATCTGGTATAAGGCGTATTTCGTATTTATGTGAGTATGTTGCCACCTGTATCAAACATTTTGTGGTCGTGTTTGTGCTTTTGAGTTTGCTTTTGCTCTGAGATTTATTCATCTTGCATTGAACATATTTTTACATACAAATATAGCATTATTGAGGCTATTTGCGGTTTGATACCTTTACGCTCCGGTTTTGTGAACGTCCGTTTTTGAGTTCGCATTTTCGTCACTGTCTGGCCTGTATTGTATAAACGTGGAGCAATTTAGAGCTACTATTCTTACATAAAGAAATATTTTGCATTTGTACCCTTTATAAGTCTTTTTCGTGGTGGCTGAAAGGTCTGATGCTAGCAGAACGGTATGAGTGTAATTCCGAGGGGTCATCATCTGTCATACAAACGATTAGAATTTCCCCAGCGATGAATTTTGTTACCATTTGCGCCTAATTCAACATGGGCAAAAATGTAAACCCCAAGCGTATCTTCTCGTCGGCTCGCTCATTGCTTCCCCTCATATATGTCTCTTAGCACTACTGCTGTTCCTCTTGGGGTCGGATAGCCAAAGAGCCTCCAGTTGTTCACATCTATTCATCACAAAAACCGAGTGCTGCGCATCTTTGTGATCCATTTAACTACGCTGCGTGGTCTTTTCCAAGTGCCTCAAGTCTACCTGTATCGGTCATATCGTCACTGGTTGGAGATCAGACATACCCAGTCCCAGCATCCTTCTCTCATGCGGCTGGAGCGAAGTTAATGCTTCTCCTGCAATCAATAGCCGTTGAAGATAGCAGTTTTCGGACTATGCGCACTGCTGGCCTTAAACGCGTCCCAATATGCGTTACCCATTGACTTGTTACCGCTTTCTCTAAGCCAAATAGTCCGTTGTCCAGAAGATACAAGCCTGCCAAAATTCTCTTGTGATTGACAGTGGTCACAGCTTCATAATCTTCTCCGATTAGGCCTGGGGAGGGGATAAATTCCTCAGGCTCTTCTAACCTATACTCATCATCATGGCTCTTAAATGTCGCACCATTGAAGCCATGAGGCACGCTAGCTGTGCTTTACTTCATAGTAGGGAACGCGGTTTTTCTGTTTGGATGGAACACATTTAGAGACAGTACAGTTTACTTTTGTGCCTGAGCAGCTTTACGCTTTGATGACGCTGGCCTACTCTTGACTGCAATTTTTTCTAATCAGGTTCCCATGGGACTCCGTACCCAATCTGCAGAACTTGGATCCCCTCTCCGCTACGTTGTTGATCTGATCATTGCGCCAGACGCTAGATGCGATACTTTTGAACAAAGCCTCTCCACGACTGAGCGTCCGTATTTTTTTCACATTCCCCCCTTCCCTAGTTAACAGGCAAAAAACCACACCTTATCTTGTCAACCGCTTTGCTGAGGATGCCAAATCATTTTCCGACGTCCAGTATTTATGCTTACGGAGTCCTCTAGCAGTCAAGTGCCTTAATTTGTCCACCAACATATGACACTCACATCGGCTTACTAATCCACCTGACCTTATATGTGCCGTTTTTCAAAGTATGTGTACATAGTAGAAGCGACGTAATGAAGCTGTGACAATCGTCTTCGAGTTTCTGTGTCAGAGCCCACGTGCTTCGCGTCCGCTGTGATACCGGATAAATGACCAGCGGTGCTCGGGTTGTCAAAGTTCTCCGTAGGCTTGCTGATTTTGGTCTTTGTTAATGGATCCCAGCATCAGCAGGATCTGTCCGTCTTCCAAATTGGGGATCACGTGATGGGGATTCCAAATGGTTGGAAGCTATGGCTCGCAATCCTAATCAGTGGCATTAATGCTGTTCTGTCTTTTCTTTTACATCTTAATTTCAATTTTAACCGAGAAAACTCAAAACGGCATTTGTGAAACACTAAAAGACACCGCTTCCCTTTGTTGAACAAATATTTTTATTTAAAGCAGTTAGTTCCCTTCAACAATTTGAAAAGCACGGAAAGAAGACGAAGGCTGGTAGATGCATGCATTTCGTATTGTCTCCTCAGTACCATTAACAATAACTGATAAGCATAGCCATCCATGCATGCATCTACCAGCCTTCGTCTTCTTTCCGTGCTTTTCAAATTGTTGAAGGGAACTAACTGCTTTAAATTTCTGAAACGACTAATTCCCTCCGAAACAGTCAGGTTGCTGCACCGCATAGTCAGCCTGAGGTGCAAGATGGTGTGCTTACGTGTGGAGATATCGTTTCTATCGAAATGCATTTTCGTACGTCGCTATCCTCGTCCAATGCTTTTACTGTTGCGTAGAAACAAACTCAAGCCCTCTGCGGCTAACCTCAGACGTGTGGCGTCCGCTCACCTAGAGACGGCTCAAACCAGACTTGCGGAACTACTAGAAACTCATGCACGCTTACTACGCGTGGTCGAGGATCTGTCTCTGTGTTGCCGGATTGTTTTCACTAACTTTGTAAATCAACTCTTGATCGTACGAGACGAAATCGCTCCGTTCGTTTAGCAAATTCGCTGACGAACAACCAGGAGGAGGAATCAATTGCTCGTGATCCCAGTAAGTACGTGATGAATTTATCGAACGTACAACTTGATGCGTTGCAATTAGAAGCATTATCACTTGGGCTTGATTACAAAGTCCCCCCTAGGACGTTGAACGGCTTGTTTATAGAAGCCCAATTTGGGAACTTTTTTGACCAGTTTAAGGAGCTCCAACCAACCAGCCCTGATAAGCATATTTGGTTCAGAAACAAGTTAACTGATATCGCTCATGAGGTGAAAACCATGCCAATTAATGAAAAATGTGCCATCACAGCTCGACATTTTCAGGCTTTACGTGAACTACGAGCTAAGGACGTAGTCGTAATGAAACCAGATAAAGGTTCAGGAGTGGTAATCATGAATAAAACCGATTACAATGAGATGTGCGCCATACTCAACGATGTGAGTAAATTCGAACGGCTCACGAAAGTGGGGGATATAACCAATGTCGAAATGCTCATAATTCGTCACCTGGAATTATTTCTCCTTCACCGGGTGATAGACTTTGATACATTTAATAGTTTGAAGCCGAGTGTTAGCACTATTCCACAGTTGTATGGGTCCCCAAAGACACATAAGAGTGAAGTGCCACTCAGGCCAATCCTTTCAATGATGAACGCGCCCCAGCACAAACTCGCTCGTTGGTTAGTAAAGTTGCTAGCTCCGCTGAAACAACAGTTCAATCCGTGCAGTCTTAAAGACTCGTTTCAACTCATTGATGATCTGGATGAACTTAACCTGTCGGACAAAGTTATATGTTCCTTGGATGTAGAATCTTTATTTACCAACGTGCCGCTACATCAGACGGTTGATTACGTGTGCGAATTACCTGAAAACGATGGCTGTTCGCTACCAATTCCGACTGCATTGCTAAGAGAATCTCTACTATTGTGCACGGAGAATGGGGATTTTCACTTCCGGAATACACCATACCGTCAGATTGACGGCGTAGCAATGGGTAGCCCATTAGGTCCTGTGCTCGCTGATTTCTTCATGTTGATGGTAGAAAGAAGCATTTCTACTGAAATCGCCCAGGTGCCATACTACAAAAGATATGTCGATGATATCTTGGCTTTCTGTTCGTCGGAGCAGCAGCTCACACACTTGGTAGAACGGCTCAATGGTGCTCATGCTAACTTACGGGTTACATGTGAAATAGAACAAAACAATTGTCTACCATACCTGGACATACTCATAACTCGCAGGGAGGATGGATTGATTAAGAGATCAATTTACCGAAAATCGACTTGGTCCGGTCAGTACCTGCACTTCACCAGCTTCACACCAGTGCGGTACAAACGGACACTTGTGAAGACTAGTTTGTCGTGCCAGACGAATTTGTTCGGCCGACTGTCTGGACGATGAGCTAGTGTTAATTACAGCAACACTAATGGCGAATGGCTACCCTCGAAGATTTATCGAGAGACACAGCCAACCGCGAGGACCAAAGGACTTGGTGCACACGGCAGCCAAGAAGAAAGTGTATATCGAGTTACCTTTCAAAGGTGACTTAGCCACGCTGAAGACAACTAAGCGTACAATTTCGGCTACACAAGGTAGTTACTATGCTGCACAAGTTGTCGTTATCAACCGAACCCGAAATTTGCCCATACCTCCAACGAAGGAAGCTCAGCCTATTGGGGCCAACTCACACTGTGTATACCAATTTGTATGTGACTGCGGAAAAAGTTACATAGGCAGAACCAATAGAACGCTGACTTCCCGAATAAAGGAACATGTGCCAAGATGGGTTCAGCGTGAAGTTGCTCAGATTGCCTACCCTCGTCAGATTCCATGTTCGCGCAGACCGCCGGCTTCCTCGATAGGCAAACACCTATTAGACTCGGGTCACCAATTAGAGCTGGGCTCAGCGTTTAAAGTTGTGTTACGTCACACTAATCCCCGCTTCCTTCGGTTTGCTGAGGCTGTCGCAATTAGCCGGATTAAGCCAGCCTTGTGTGTTCAGAAACAATTATTTGTCAGTCTAAAGCTGCCTTGGACGTAGGTGTGAACTTCCGTCATTCATTTTTCACCTTAAGCTTGTCTGATTGCACCCACCGTTAGCTATATCTATGCTTATCGGTTATTGTTAATGGTACTGAGGAGACAATACGAAATGCATGCATCTACCAGCCTTCGTCTTCTTTCCGTGCTTTTCAAATATTTTTATATTTCATTGCATCCATAGTTCTTATGTCGCATTTGTCTTCTCATGATTGTGAATAAACCTATAATATATATAGTGGATCCCAGTGAATACCTGCATGTGTACACTCCGACTTCGAGGCTACTAAGCAACAGCATAGAGCATGATTTCTTTTTATCCTTGTGGCGTGAGCTTGCTTCGGCTCTGGTCCGGATGTTGTCGAAGTCTAATTCG